AAAAAAAAAAAAAAAAAAAAAAAAAACAAGAGCTAGGGAGGGTCTGAGCCTGGAGAGGCCTGACCTGGAAGCTGTGGCCACTGCTCCACGGAGACCCCAGCCTGTGCCGGCCCCTCCTGACCTGGGCTCTGGCTCTGTTCCCCTCTCACCTTCCCTCCCAGCATTTTCTTCCACATTCCCCTTCTCTCCAGGATTCCTCTTCTGTCCTTCATCTCCCTTCCTCTGTCTGTCCTCCCAACATCAATCTTTTGGGCAGGGAGCTCCTCGTTGGCCCAAGAGGAGGGCAGGTGCATTAACCCTTTCCCTCCCGACCCCCCCAGCACTCAGACAGCCAGACCTGCCCCTTCTGCCGCTGTGAGATCAAGGGCCGGGAGGCCGTGAGTATCTACCAATTCTATGGCCAGGCTACTGCTGAGGACTCAGGAGACAGCAGTCACCAGGAAGGCAGGAAGCTGGGGCTGGGGCAGGTGAGCAGTGCCAGGCAGGAGATGGAATCCAGATTCCTGCATCAGAGGGAGGAAGGGCTGGGGCCTGGATTCCTGGGTCTGAGGGAGGAAGGGCTGGGGGCCTGGACTCCTGGGTCTGAGGGAGGAGGAGCTGGGGCCTGGGCTCCTGGGTCTGAGGGAGGAGGGGCTGGGGTCTGGGCTCCTAGGTCTGAGGGAGGAGGCGACTGGGGGTCTGGACTCCTGGGTCTGAGGGAGGAGGTGACTGGGGCCTGAACTTCTGGGTCTGAGGGAGGAGGGGCTGGGGGCCTGGACTCCTGGGTCTGAGGGAGGAGGGGCTGGGGCCTGAACTCCTGGGTCCGAGGGAGGAAGAGCTGAGGGCCTGCCCTCCTGGGTTCTAAGAGAGCAGGGGCTGATAACAAAATTCTCAGGTCCTAGGGGCCTGGTCTTTTGCTTCCCCAAAGGCTGGGGCTGTGGCTTTCCCTGCTTGTAACCCTCCTCAGTATTCACACTTTTCTTGGTCTCGGTTATATCCTGAGTCTAGAACAGTGCCTGAATGCCAGGGCACAGGCAGGAGAACGTGAAGGTGACAAGAAAATGGCAGCTTGAAAGCCCCCTCTCCACCGTCTGTTCCCTCCAGGTGCCCCCTTCGGCTCCTCCACTGCCCCCACGGTCAGAGCTGCCCCCGAGGAAACCCAGAAATACCCAGCCAAAGGTGGTGAGTCAGGTGCTGCTCTGAGGTTGGGGGCTGGGGTCACACTCACCTCCAGGGTCCCTGGTCCACCTGGGCACTCAGGGGTACCAGGGCAGAGACTCCTCCTTGGCACCCATCCCCTCTGTGACCTCTTCCCTTGCTTTCTTTTTTTTTTTTTTTTTTT